CAAAGACAAAAACAGAAACAACTCATTTGTTATCAGAAATAAAATGAGGAAAACTGGAGAACAATGGTGACGATGAAAACGGCAAGTGCTGCATACTCTGGGCCTGTGATGGGTCTGATGGCCCCAGGACCGAGGAGCAGGAGGCCAGACTTCATGGATCATGCAGAGTGAGGAGTCTGAGGAGGAGCTTCAAGTTAATTCAAATGTAACAAAAATTCAAATGTACTTTTGTCCTTTAAGTACGCTTTATAGCAAACATGTTATGTAGAATTTTGAGATCAAGACTACTTATTGTATTGATGCTTTTTAATCCTTAGTTTAACTACGATAAAATTTTGTTCAAATTTTTGTATCCAACATAATACCTGTATTATATGAATGAAATGCTATAACAAATGTATATATGACACAGAAGAATTTTAATTTTGGTCACTGAAAAATTGTTTTGGTCAGTGGAATCCCCCCCACCCTCCCCGTCTACCATCCAGTGAGTCAGAAAGTTAATTTCAGACTCTGCATGCCCCGTTTGAGATGTCACCTGCACGTACAAAATTATTCACGCCAGCCTCCCCCAAGCCCAGTCTCTCGTTTCTGTTTTAAAGTAAAGAAAGTATTTTACAGGAACCACCCCCACAGTCTGTGTTATGAATGACCTGTTTATGAATGAATACAGATCAAGACAAGGGCCTTCTTCCCGGGACCCCCAAAAGGTTAATTATTCAAAGCTTGTGTGTGTGTGTGTGTGTGTACACGCCTGCATTGTCTTATCTTTCTGCTACCTGGGTAAGCATCTAAACTTCCACTGCCCACCCCTCCACTTTCCAAGTAAAGGAGGGTGTGGGGAGGTCAAGGAGTATGTGTGTTAGGAGGGAATTAATGTTTTTCTCTTTTTTTTTCTTCTTTCTTTGTATCTCTTGCATCGCTCATAATTTTCTTGTCAATTTCCTGCTTGTTTTTATTTTTCTGGAGTACCAGTGTTGGGGTCCACAAACAGCTGGTACAGATATAAACTGGCTGGAAAGTACACAGCCCTCCCTCTTTTTGTTGATAAATGTAGCTGGAGAAGAACTTGGTAACTTATGGCCAGCATGAAGTGGTTCTTTTAAGGCAGAAAATTTGCTTGTTATCTTTGTGGCTTGTTCACGAAGGTCATGAACGCAACACTCCATGACTCACACAGCTGAAACAGAATCGCGGTGCCCATGGAAACCCCTTCCTTTAATCAACAGTGTTTTTTTTTTTTCTTTCTTTCTTCAACTACCCTTCTTCCCTCATGAAGAGGGAGCATTATCTTGGGCAAGTGCACTAAGAGATTCTGTTCAGTAGGCAAGCTGGATCTGAATCTTGTCTGCCTAGGAAGAAGATTCTCCTTAACCACTGTATTAAAAACATGAAGTTTTTTCCCCTCTTTAGGGACACCACTCCTGAACCACCACCACTTCTAACTGACGCACCTGTACCAGCAATACTATAATACACTCTCCGCTTTGTATTTGTGTTGCGGTTGTACTGTCACATGCCAGCCTGAGCTGGCCTTTGGCACAAGGCTAAGCGTGTTTTTTTTAAGGCTGGAGGATATCTGTGGCAGTATATGTTGGGGTTTGGGGCAAACTCAGTTTCACCTGCTTGGTGCTTTCATGGAGAAGCACCCAGATTCTGAAGCCTAATGAAGCACCTCGAACTTGCAAGTAACACTTATGCACAGGCCGCATGTTAAATGTCTTAAATTTCATGAGTATTGCAAGGGGCAGGGTGTTAGAATTTGGACATTCTTGAGTGATGAGTTTTTACTGACCTTGACATGACAAAGCTGCACTGCTAAAATCTTAACCTTGGTACTTCGAAAACATCCTGCTCATGAGATTTACTGTTTTTTCTCTCCTCTTTTGCCTGTAATGTGTGTGTTCAGAGGGGAACTGAGACCTGCATGCTTTTTTTGTTGTTGCTTGGTTGACTATTGACAGGTTATGCTTGTACTTGTACAAACTCTCAGAAACCCTTTTATGCACAAAGGCACTGATTACCATAACACATTTTTCCAAATCGTGGGTCACTCCCAAATGACTAAGTGTAGAGGCTTTATTCTTGATGTCATTGTTATTCCACTCAAGACAACCCTCTTTCTAGAAGTTTTCCAACACTCCCAGAAGGTTTTGCTTTCATTTGAGTTGGTAATTGTTGTTGTGGATGTACTTGTTTAAGAGTTATAATTGTGGTCTCAAACCATGTTCTATAATTATGCATTATAGATGCCCCCTGGTGCTACTGCACTGTTCTATTAAGAGTGCTCTTCTGATAGTATTTTAAAGTCTCCCACATTTTGTTTTTCTTCACTTGGTGAGTTTAATTTCATGTGGTGATCAGCCTCTGGTATTAATAACTGTATCATTGTACCCCCACATTAATCGTAATAAGTCATGTACACAGCTGGAACTTTGCTGGATTACGTCGCTGAAGATATCCGACTGGTTGAATATGTTGATTTATTTTTCTGCCAGGCTCTGAGCCTTCGTAGTATTAAGATGATCTTTTTTTTTCTTTTCACTCACCCCATCATTGATCTTTTTAGTGCTCTTATCTCCAAGTGGTGTCAATGTTTAAAAAAGTTAATTTACAAGAAAACGTTATGTGCTGAGTGACACTCAAGGAGACGCTGTTCGTGCTGTTGGGGCTCTCACACAGTTTGGGTTTCAGTATGTGCCCTGTAGTTGCATCCAGTATGTGCCCTGTAGTTGCATCCAAAATCTAATGTGCCTGACCAGATGACCGCTTTGAATTATTGCTTTGACATTTGTGTAGAAAAGGTATCTGTCGAGGACAACTGCCAGTGTTCTAGCTGTATCTTGTTAGATGTTAATATGCATGCTCAAATAAAACCTACTACTCACACTGAGAAAAGGACTGCTTTAAACAACCTAAAACTGAAAGCAAATTTGGTGCTCACTGTATCATCATGACAAAACTTATTTCTAGTCACTGTACACATTCAGGCATTTAGTTGTATCATGACCAGTGTAACTGCCAGCTTGTGGCTGCCTGGCCTGTGATGAGCCCAGTTGCCAGTGTGATTTTGCACTGCACTGAGGTTTCCAGACTTGTCTGGCTTTTCTGTCCTGAAAAACAGGTTGTCATGCAGATTTGCCCTCCAAATCTTTCTTTGTTGGTTACACATATTTTATCAGTGATATTTTGCCCTCCTTAGTTTACCACCAGCCCTTCAGGTTGAAACGCATTCGCTAGTTTTATTAAATATTCCTGTTTGTTAATGCAAACAACCTGGTTCTCCAAACGGCTCTTGTGGCTGCAACTCGGTATATGGCGCATCCAGACTGGGTCAGTAGGTTCAATTACTGTTGGCATAACCATTACAGCAGATAAGGCATCTGATCTAAATGATTTTTAGCTTAATTGCATTTGTTAGTGCTGGATTTGGTCACTGAAGCAGTCTCCTGGGATTTTTAAGCACTTCAGTGTCTAGAGTTTACCAGGAACCACAGAATCAATGACATTTCTTTTCACAAACTGAGGGTGTTCAGGGAAGAATGATTAAACTAGTTAACAGGCAGGCCACAAATGCAATAACAGCTCAGTTCAACAGTGGGTTTAAAACTGCTTTTGTGGTCATACATCTACCCTTGTATTGGTTCTAGGAGCGAAAGTGAGTTCTACCTGGTGTACTTAATAAAGCGGCCACCAAGTGTGTGGGTGTGTGTGTTTTTAAACAGGTTTGACCCAAGTAATTGGTCACTGTTACCCCTCCAGGGTGTTGATCAGGTCTCAAACTGGCCAGAATTCTGAGAACACAATGCCCCTGAAATGGATTGTCACATCTTTCTTAGTCTCCCGCAGTGTGCTTCATTATGTCTCTGCTGCTCATGGTGCTCCTGGCTTTAAAGGATTTTATTTATATTTTCCACACCCTTTTTATGTAAGTGGTCTGCAGCATGTGTCTGAAGCGCAGCCCTGGAGCCTAATGGTGAATTTGTATTTAAGGCTCAATATTAATATTTGCCTGAATATCAGAAACTTGCAATGTCCTTCAGGGTAGCCCCCCCCATGAGCAATCTTTTATTTCCAAGCTGTTTGTAATACTTGCAGCATGTTTATACTTGTGCTTTAGTATTGCCTGTCTGGCTTCTCTTAAAGTTCAGAGTGTTAAAGATGGACATTTGTTGATTGATCATGCAGGCTTGTTCAGAGCTCTCTTCCTTTTGTGGGGAAAATTTTGCCAAATAAGCTTATTGGGATTCCACGTTGGCCATTTCACAGTCCCTGAAGTCCTGTCTCATCGTTTTGCTTCTGTTTTTGTGGGACTCACTTTTTAATTGTGAATTTCATGTGTTTTATTACACAGGTTTGCCGGCGTTGCTGACCTCACCTTCCTCCTGGACTGAGAGCACCCCCCCCCCACCCCACTAGGCAGTTTGTGACACTTGACTGTCAGATTTGAGGCCACTATGTCTTAGATCCAGTGCTTCCCACTCAGAACACCTGCCCCTCCATCCCCCCTCCCCCCTGCTCTGCTCATGTTCACGCTCCACCTGGAGCTATGAGCCTGCAGAAGCGCCCACCGGCCGGCTCGGACCGGGACCTGCAGTCCTCCGCCGCGTCCTCTGTCAGCCTCCCGTCTGTCAAGAAGGCGCCCAAGAAGCGACGGCTGTCCTTGGGTTCGTTGTTCCGGCGACGGCGCGAGCCCAAATGCCGGTCCCGTGACCTCGGGACAGACGCGGTGGCCAGCGTGGAGAGCGTGCGCTCTGAGGGCTGCCAAGAAAAACCCGCTGCTTCTGTGCCAGCTACGGCCTCCACCTCTTCTTGTGCTGCCTCTTCGGTGCCATCTTCATCCTCCTCGACCTCCTCGTCCTCAGAGCTGCTGGAATGTCCCCTGTGCCTGCTGCGGCATGCACGGGACCGTTTCCCTGAGATCATGACGTGCCCCCACCGCTCCTGCGCAGACTGCCTGCGTCAGTACCTGCGCATTGAGATCTCAGAGAGCCGTGTCAACATCAGCTGCCCGGAGTGTACTGAGCGCTTCAACCCGCACGACATCCGCATGATCCTAGCTGACCGTGCTCTCATGGAGAAATATGAGGAGTTCATGCTGCGTCGCTGGCTGGTGGCAGACCCTGATTGCCGCTGGTGTCCCGCTCCCGACTGCGGGTAAGAATGAGCATCTGTGGGAAATCCATATAACTTCTGTTGAATTTCATGGCTGTTTGCTTTAGCAGCTCGTAACTGCTTATCTGGTGTTGGTTCAAAGTGAGATTCAAGCCAATGCTAAGCAATGCAGGGCACACCCAGACTGGGCTGCCATCCTATCAGAATCAATCATTTATCGGCAGGTACTTTTACATACGAGGAATTTACTTGCAGTGTCATGTTAAACAAGCAAGGACAATACACGCACACACACAAACCTCAAGAGTAACCAAGACTTGCCTGAACCTGGTTTGTTGACCTTCTGCTGCAAACTGGTTTGTGATCAGCGTACTCTCTACACCTTGGCCATTCTGACAGTTTACCAAAACTTTAGTCATGTCAAGAAGTTCCATGCCTTTTGCCAGCCTCCTTTTGCTCCTTTGTTCATGCGAATTATATTTCTCGTCTTATGTGCTGCTTCACTGTGAGTTTTCTCTTGGCCATTTGGCAGGAAATGACATTGGTTGGTATGTGGGTGTGCTCATTGGCCACTGATTCCCCTGTGTTGCATAACAGCCATTGCTTTAATTGTAATTTGAGTTGTTCTGTCCTTTTCCAGGCTTTCTGCGAGGCTCAGTTTCATTAACTTGTCTAAGTTGTCCCGAACCCCCTTAACTTTTAAATTTATTTGTTGCTGGAAGTTGTGCTCGTAGTTCAAGTGCCTTGCAATACACTTACCAACAATGTTTCACCTTGCTGGTCACACTTCTTGCTGCTTTACCTGCTCTGTCAGTGTTGCTGGCTTTCAGTTTCCCTCTCTGGTGTTTGATAAAAGGTCTCTTGTGTGGCGCATACTCTCAGATGTAATATGGTGGATGTATCATGTAGATTGAGCTGCGTGTGTGTGCATGTATGTGTGCGCAATTTCACACTTTACGAGATGAATTGCAGCAGGTCTGTAATTGCAACAGCAAACAGTTTTCAAGCTGCTGCGTCTTAGGTCGCTTTTCCACTGCCAGGTACCGTGCTTTGAGAAAGTACCAAAAGTACGGAACTTCAAGGTGTTGGTTTTCCACTAGCGCAAAAACTGGTACCAGTTCCAAATAACACCACAGCTCGAAGCGGGGTATTTTATTCTGAATTTGAAAAATCACTGTAGTGTATTATATGCCTGCATGATGTGCAATATTTTATATCAACATTACATGTCATGCACATGCAATTCTAACATCGCTAGTCGGGGTTGTGAGAAATTTATGAACTCCTTTTTTGTTTTATAAATACCCTAGTATTTCTTACCACAAAATAACATCACTATATTTACAACAAAATCACATTGATAGGACAGCACTTTATATGTGTGCTGTCCTAGTATATTAAAATACTTCTAAAATTTCATGCCATCTGGATCTTTTTGTTGTATCTGTTGTTCTGACCAGATTGCATTTTTTTCTTTTTACTTGTTTCCAGAGTTTGTTGCTTTTCAGTTCGTTTTTTTTTTTCTTGTTTGAAGCAGGCTATTTGCATAACCAATCGACAAAGAAAGTGTTTCAAGTCTATCCCCAATGTACCGAGGTACCAAAGTAGTACCCCAGCTGGTTTGGTACTTATGGTACTGGTACTTGACCAGAAGTCAATGGAAAAGCAAAAGTACGGTGCTTGGTGCTGTGGAAACGCTCCCTTACACTGGCCAGTATGGGGAGCATGAGGATCATTGAGGCTACAAGCTCAGTGGGTCATCTTGGGTGTTGGCTCCTAAATGCCTTGTAATCCACCCGATCTCACTACTGTGCTTACAACAATCAGATTCCCTGCAGAAGCCTGGCAGAGGGCCAAGAGGCTTAGGCTCGCCAGTCAGCTGCTCTGCCATTGGATTTGCTCCGCCTCCATATTGTACCTGTTGGTATGTAGTGCACAGCCTTTAATCAGAAGAGCCCTCAGGATTGGTGGTATATTGCATTTAATAATCTTGATTGGAGCCGTGGATGGGATTCAGTCAGTAGGCTTACATGCCCAACTAAGTCAAACTCCAGTTATAGCTAAACTATGCCGTTCAATCGGACTACTATCCTTGTCCCAGTATATATGCACGGGAAGGGAATCGATTTGTTGATCGAAGTATGTCCAACTCTGCTACAATAGGTGGCAATATGGCTCCTTTAAGCTTGTTAGTACTGGGCTTTTTCCAGTTGACCTATTATGTCACAGGCGTAAAAAAAATAATAACGATGTATGCGTGGACAAATGAAGTGACAAGCTATAACTGCGATCTGGTTAGAAGAACAGATTCAAGATCAGGATAGCATAACAAAATATTTTGTACTATGACAGTACAGTGTTTGATTTTTTTTAAATTATTGCAATATAATTTTATTGTAATACATATTTGGGTGTTCATAATGCAAAAAAAGGGTTCAGCACACATTTCTCATGAACCCTTCTATGTGCGTAACATGAAATATTGGTATTAATATCGCTCATCATCCAGTCTTACTGCAGCCATTTTTTAAACTCTGTATAATTACTTGGCCTCGCATTGGATGAATGGATGTGCTCATTCACCGCTTGTAACAGTTTTTACACCAGTGGAAAACCAACACCTTGAAGCTTCTGGGTCAAAACCCGGGGTGGGGCGGGGGGGGGGGGGGGGGGGACTGTGGAGCATGCGGAGAGCTCCTGGGCCAGTCTGAGTCCGATTGAACGTGTACATGCAGGAGAAAATCGACTCCCAGTCACATTATCTTGGTGTCTTGGTCAGACTTCCAGAAATTCTATTTGGGTTGATTTTAGTCGGACTTAACACAATAATTAGATTTTCTTAGTGTTCCTGTAAATGAGTTTCTCTGCATCTTTCATCCTCAGGATAGTTTTAAGGTTTAATCTTTTATGGTGCAATTTGCGATCTTATTGGCATATAATAATACTGAAAATATGAAAATTGCATTCTATAGTCAGGATCAGAGGTCTACTATGATTTTACTTTGTCCTTCAGCATTGGCTCTAGTGCTTTTTATGCACTGAACAGGCGTTGCCTGGACACGGCAGTGTGGATGTCGCGGCAGACCGCTGACCTCTGCTTTGCTGCATGTGCGCAGTGCGAGCGTGTTGTTCAAGAGCACATCTGCGAGCTGCGGACGGGCCAGACATCCGCAGCCCTGGGAATGGCGCTCTGCTGGGATACCTATTCGCTGACGACTGCTGGCTGGGCCGTTTCCTGGGGGCTCCGTTGTCCTGCCCCATCGGTCAGACGCATGTGGACAGAATGACGTCAGCGCCTTGTGAATATGCTGCTCTTTGTTGAGTCTGTCTGGGGGAGTGTGCCTGGAGAGCTCCTTTTCATTGTTTTCCCTGGCTTGTGGGCTGCTATCTCAGTTTCCTGTTCATGTACTGAATTCAAGCCTTTTTTTTGTTTTTTAAATAACACTAACCCCATCAAAGGGTTACTATGGTATAGTGCCAAAAGACGGGTGGAAAAACTAATATGCTTTCAGTTCTTTGGAACTGAAAATGCCCTCCCCCTTCCCTCTTTGTTCTTTTGAATAGCTGTTTAAAATCTAAACTCCAGGGTCTCATCTGACGCTTGTTGAGGGAGTTGGCTGGCCCATGGACCTGTGATGTATGAGAATGAACTATTCTCACAGAAGCCCCCTCAAGGGAGGAAGATTAATTCCCCCCCACCTCACCTGACCATTC